TAGAATTAGAACATAGATTAACCTCTTTTTTTTTCTTCTTATATATTGATATTCTGTTCTTTATAGATCAAGAAGTTAAGATTATATATGCTGCCTGAAATTACAGCTACTTATCTTTTAACAATTACAAATGTTATTAATTGGTCTCACTTGAAAATATGATATAATTTTTTAACAACTATTTTTCTTATTGCTCCCTAATATTAAGAAAGCATTATACTTAAGCATCAGATTGTGTACATTAAATATGAGCTAGAATGTCAGAAAAAATTTCAGAATGACAATTCTCACATTAGTACACAAATTCTAAAAGACTCTAAAACGCTTGATGAAAAAGCTATTTTTAATGAAATACTTTGGCTAGAAATATCTCAATTCATGATTACAATGCCACCTAATAATGATAAAAACTATCACACAAATGAAATAAAGAAGTTTCTAGAATTTTTTATTCTATTAATTGTATTTGACTTTCATGACATCTGCAACTCTCCAATCTGTAATCTTAATGCAAAGATCAATTTCATTATTATATTAATAGGTATTGTTTATAGACAGAATTGATAGTAGTGATAGAAGCAAAAGGAAATATTCAAAACACAATAAGTTATAAAGACACAGTGGGTCAGATCTGTGATAGACACATGGAAATTTTAAAGTAGCAACATTTAAGAAAGGTTACTTTTAGTATTGTTTTAGGTTATTGATGTATAGAAATCATAAAGACAGTTTAAAGTAGTGCTTTAGCCTTTTTACATTATAGGACAGGATTCTTTCCATTATTTACTCCTGATAGAACATCAAATGAGAGGAATATGCACTTTTGATCAGACTGTTGAAATTGTCTTTAGTCTATTTAGGTTTTACACTATTTGTATTTCTAAATTCATCTTATTTGTTTATAAAAGATGAATGAAATTTGAAGATAAATAAGGTAATAATATTAAAGGAAGGTATAGTAATTATCCTTTCATCTGTCTCAAACTTAAATAAAAGAGTAGAATAACTTACAATGAGACTGTGAAATATATTATAAAATTTGGTGAGAATTTAGATCTCCTATATAATGAATGAGAAATTTTGAGCATCTTGATACATTAATATATTATTAAATTACATAGAGTTACTAATTTAGACTTGATAACAGATTCTTCTTATGCATTTCTATTATATCTGCATAGTATTCTTATAACTTTAACATTAGATATTATTGAAAATAATAAAACATTTAATAAGTTGATAGAGTGGATTTGGTAAATAAATATTGGTTTTTAGTATACATATGAGTAAAGAATTATATATAAGGATTGTTCTAATGATAATTTAATAATCAATTTTACTGGTATTGTACAAATTATTGATTGGAATATATCATATAAAAGAGGAGATAGCAACCAGAAATTATTTATAGGTAAGCCATTATTTATATCATTGAGCATTTCATTATAGTATTTCAATCAATCAAATGGCTTATATGATATAGGAAAAGGGATGATTTCTAATTGCTATTTTATATATTTATTTATTTAATTAAAAAATCTATCACTCATAATAATTAAGCGAATATGCTCCTGAACTGGATGCTTTACTTTCTGATTGGATAGCTCACAGGTGCGTTAAAATTATCCTTACCAGAGGCACTGATAACAGACGCTCATTTAGTAAAGAGCAAATAGAGGCCCTCCTACTAGACAAAAGAAAGAGAAAGCTTACTATAAAGAAAAAGGCAAAATACTGCGCTAAGGTCGGTGATTTTATAGACATTATCACTAATCATTGGGCATTGGATCTAAAAAGTAATGATGAAAATAAAATTGTTGCTGGCATCTCACAGCAATCGCAATTCCGTGTGAAGTTAGCAGAAGGTAGGATAGATCTTACAATTATTGATACTTTTGCTAAAAATCGAGAACATATTCAAGAATCTAATAAAATTCAGAATAAATGAACTAAGAAACGAATGACTAATTCAAACAGAATTCCCATACATTTCTTCTTAGCAAATGTGAGTAAAAGGATTCAGAACATGAATATTTCTAAAAATTCTACTAGAGAGAATCTCATGGATGTGATAGTGATGTTAAGTATGAGACCTGCAGAAATAAGATCTCTTTAAATCAATTACTATGAACTGGACTCTTTGAATATTTTATCATAGTATAAAGAAGGCTATTCTTGGTACTGTACAAGCTATTTAAAAATAGAGGAGAAAAGAAAAGAATCCTGAGCTCTGACTATTTCTTTTCATGAAGAAAAATTCAGAACGCGTAAGAGTATTACTTACCTGGATTCGAGATATAATTAAGGCTAAAAAGTTACATGATCCTGTCTATACTGAAAGTGAAACACAAAATGCTTGACCATTTAATGAATTCTTAAAGCAAGAGCCTTATTGAACTATATCTGGAAAATTAAGAGATTATAGAACTAAACACGCTTCTAGAATTCATGGTAGTAAGAAACTAACTTCCTAATATCTTAAACTGCTTTTAAGAATTGCAATGAAGCAAGAATCAGACTGTCTTGATGCAAGCGATAATTACGCTATAGGTAATACAGAATTAAAGAAATCTGATTCTAAAAATGCACTAAGTCCAGAACCTCAGACTTCATCACTGCAGCCTAAAAATGATGATTATAATCCTTTCAAGAGACAAATAACAGAAATTGATTTAATGTTAGCTGGTTTTTAAAATTCCCCTCATTTATAGAACTTTGGAGTGGTAATGTGAGTATGGTTCTGAATAATTTTTTCTTAATTTGATATATAGCTATCCACCCTGAAAATCTTTGATCAAAGGGAAGAAATAAGACAGGATTTTTTTTAGTCTGATCTTGCAATGATTATGTATTGTTATTCACCATGATTGCTAATAGTGAAGTAATATATTTAATGCAAAAAAATTTTACTGAAGATGCCTATGGCCAAGTCCAGAATACTGATCATCATTCCAGAGCAGTGATCTTTAACTCAAAAGAATTTACTAGGCCACAATGCATGCATTCATGTTCGATAAAAAATATAGATTAGTTAACTTATTCTAGACATGGGCATTAGTCCATATCAGCTGAATTTTTTACAAAAACTTCATACAATTGTTGAAGAGAGACCTTTTGAAATAATGGTAATCCTCTTCAGTAAAATAAAACATTTTACCCCCTATTGACAAATTTCTGTATTACCACACTTGAAACATCTAAACTTTTGAATATATGCTCTCACATCTTTCTCAGCTTCTTCTTTATCATTTCTTTGTTAGTATAACTAATAATACCAAGATAAGCTTGAATCATGCTTATATTCTCTTTCAGATATAAAAGCAAATAGTATTTTTCTCTAAGTGAACATTCTCCCAATAATCTATCAATAAGATCTTCTCTATATCGATGTAATGTATTAAGGGTTGGATAATCACCAATCTTAAGAACCTTCTCTATCGATATAATTTTCTCTATCAAATTAAACAATAGTTTACTTATATAATCAAGTATTTTTGCTTTCTTGCTTTGATTTAATACTGTTTGGTTTGCATTGTCATTAATACCAAGATTTCTTTCAGCTAAGCACTTCTGAATAGCTAATACTTCCATCTTCTTGTACAAAAGCACTTTATATAGTTGATTTTTAAGTATTTTGCTTTAAATAGATTTATTATTAGTATTACTTGTCATAATTGTATTTATCTCTAACTAGTATATATTCAAATTTGTGTTTGAAATACTGATCATCAACTGGAGCAGTGATCACTAACTCAAAAGAATTTGCTAAGCTATGCACAACGTCTTCAGCTAGATTGTGTGACAAAAAATAAGTGGATCATCATTCAGATCTTATGCGATATATTAATTTTGCATATATATTTGCTAACCAATACCTTTATCTTTTTTCTTCCAAACAAATGTGAAAAAAATGTGAAAGGAGGTCTAATTGCAATACAGAACCTTTTCTATAAGCTAATATTATTGACAAAAGCATATGTAATAAAAGGATAAAGGTTCGAAATTCTGAGATTATTAGGCGTAAAACTAACTATATATTTTGCTATGTCAAAAAAGATTTTATTTCCCTTATTTTTTTCCTGAATGAGGTATGCTGATCATATTTTCTTCTTACCTTATAAAATAAAGTATTGCTGAAAATCATAATAATTATTTCATTGATTACAGTAAATGTTACTGGATAATCAATTAAAATTGAATATAAATACAAGAGTATAAATCGCCATGGGTCTTATTTATAGAATTATGGCCAATCCACCTTCAGATAATAAACTAGTTAAATAATAGACTTCAGACAAGGTTATTGGTTTTCTTGAGTCAAAAAATGATATTCTCAATCTTGATAAAACTAATATCGACAAAATCTGGGAAGAATATATAGATGGTAAGATATTACTTAGCTTGACCGTAGATACTCTTATAAAAGTTTTTGAAATAAAATTAAACCTACGTATAAGATTATGAAATTAGTTGAAGAGAAGAATTTATCTGATTTGATGTAAAAAATGCATATTATTACTCCAGATGAGTAATTATAGAGAAATCTACAAAGTAAAATTATTTCTTATTAATGACCTTTTCTGCCTATTTTAGGATTATGAAGTTTAAAAAATGTTTCACAGGAAAATGAATTGCGTGAGTTATGTATAATGGGTGCATTAATAGTAGACAATGAATTATTTTTTCAAAAAATATATAACTCATATGGGGATAGAAATAAAACATAGATTCAAGATTTGTTATTTACAAGTTACTTTTTTAACATTGGTTGATGTTTTTTTTAATCTGGTATTGAATGGGACTTTTAGATTATAGAAGTAAACAGAAATTGGATCCTCACAGTCATAGGAATTGAAATTCACATGATAGTTGATGATTTAGATGCACTTAAGAAAAAAATTATGGATCAGGATCTCAATTAAAAAATAAGTGAACATCTTACTAATGACAAAGAAAATTTTATCAAGATACTTAAAAAATTTAATGAAAGTAAAAATAAAATGTCTAGAAATTCACGTCTTGATGATGCTCTTGAATTGCAGAGTAATCTTTTAGAAACTATTTTTAAAGAGCAAGAACTGGATTTGTACTCAGAGAGCAACTTTTCAATTTATATTAAGTATTCTAATACTAATATCAATACTGACACTAATACAGATGTTGTGATCATTACTAAATTAAGGAATATATCGATATGTATTTTAGATAAATAATAAGCAAATTAAACGTGTTTATTTTACATTTTTTATGTATTAGTTGCTTCT